TTCTTTACTATCTTTCTCATCAGATTTCTTTTCACCTTCTTTACTATCTTTCTCATCAGATTTCTTTCCATCTTCTTTACTATCTTTCTCATCAGATTTCTTTCCACCCTCTTTAATATCTTTGTTATCTGATTTCTGCCTATCCTCTTTATTATCGTTGTTATCTGTTTTCTGTTCATCTTCTTTGCTATTTTTCTCATGCGATTTCTGCTCACTTTTACTACCTTTGTCATCGGATTTATTTGGGTCTTCTGTAGTCTCTTTGTCATCAGATATATTTGAATCCTCTTTACTCCTTTTCGGATCAGATGTTTCGTTAGATGTCTTTTCTGAATCTATATTAGAATCTACGAGAACAACTTTAATGCTTGCAATTCTGTCCCCAAATTTTTGTAGATCAATGCCAAACGTATGTACATGATACGGCTTTTGCTTTTGATGGGTAGAGTTGTAGAATTGCCCCAGTGGGTTGCACGGCGCAGCGGGCGAACATTCTGAGAACCACCATCCTGCCTTGCTTTCTCTCCCCCACGAGCGGTCAGCCATGACGTCATTGTCCCGATCAGGTGTGGAAAATGACGTGTGAACGTTTCTAGCAGACGTAAAACAACAGTCTGCTCCTTGAGAAGTGTCCAAGCTAGAAAAAACGTTGTTTGCCTTTTGGTCATTGTTCGTGATTTTACTTAAGAGAGCGGTGGCTGCGAAGTTTTTACTTTCGTCATGAAGTGAGAAACCTGTGTAGAGGTATTCGATATGCGCTGCTGGTGACCGGAATTCGACCACTATTTTAAGCTGGCTTTGTTTACTTCTATTTGTGAAACTATTTAACAAAGTTAAACCCAGCCAATGGTCTTCGCTGGGCAGGTCTTCGTTAAAAGCGTTAAAGCCTGACTTATATTCGTCCCATGTTTTATCAAAATTCAACTTGCCGGTGTTAACAGCAACAAATGTCTGCGTTTCTTTCTCGTTGAACGAACACATGACTCGAACAGGCGATGGATATCCTTCAGGCTGTATATCGAACACGTCCCCGTTTGAAGGAAGGTACCCGTTTTGGTGGATCTCTGAACAGCTAGAAGCATATCTTTCACATCTATCTCCGACACACCCACCGGAACAGCGTAACGAATTACTTTCGTCGTCCCACACGCCGTTGCCTGCACACGACTTGGAAACAGAAAACGACTTTCTGTGATAGTACCGATACTCCAATGGCCCTGACCTACTCCCAGCACAGCTGGACGAGGATGACGACGAAAAGCCAGTCTCACCCTCGCTTGCACGCTCGTGACAGGACGTGAGAACGTAACAGGATTTACTCGAATGGACGGCGAATCCTGCGCAGTTGAGTCTCCATGAACATTGCATGGCGCAGAAGGAAGCCCCGAGACGAGAGGAACGGTGGCTTGAAACGTTTTCGAAGCATTTGCTCGCAATCAGGCCGCTTACGTCACACATATAGCCTTTGAAGAAGTTGTCTGATATGATAGAGAAGTCACCCCCGTCTGAGGTGAAGATGAGATTGGAAATAGTGACTAGGAAAAGTATCAGTGCTGAAGTTCCTGTTGTCTTCATGGTGATAGAAAAGTGTGTTTTTGGTTTGTGAGGGAAGAAAAAGAAGAAGAGTAGAAGAAGAAGAAGAAGAAGAAGAAGAAGAAGAAGGAGAAGGAGAAGAAGAAGAAGAAGAAGAAGAAGAAGAAGAAGAAGAAGAAGAAGAAGAAGAAAAAGGAGACAGAGAGAGACAGAGAGAGACAAAGAGAGACAGAGAGACAGAGAGAGAGACACACACAGAGAGGGGGGAGGAGGAAGGGATGGATGTGGGTTTACACTACTTCCAGAATGAAACAGCTGTCTGTAAGATACCACTCCGCATTGAACTATACCAACTTGGAACGAGGACTCAAACCCAAGCTTCCATCAATATAGCTGATCATGTGGACTTCAAACTCAAACGTGTGCTCTACAGTGATACTGTAAAACAACTTGTGCCAGATGGTCATTGTCCTCTCCATTAGAGAAATATAGAAACAACAACACTGATTCTTACATTGTTTGTATCAGCTACATACCCCACTACAAATTAGAAAGTTTGGCACTAACTAAAAGCAGGGCACGTTTTGATCACATCTTGATCTATAATGGTTTATGAACACGGGCGTTTCCAATAAAGTCCTCTTGATCACAGCTATAGCAATTTACGCACAATTGCTTTCATAATGAACTCCTCCAATAACATGTACAACATTTTAGATTCCTTAACCGTCATATATACTCTACAAATTAGGAACATAGACTGACGCACAACAAGACTCCAAGGCACGCATCGCTGTATAGCGTTTCATTACAGAACGTTAAAGGTCTCGAAGGAAATCGAACTCTCTCAGTTTCAGATCAACTGAGGACAAAACTGCATGTTGTTCTTCCTATTTATGTGACATCATAAGAGGAATTTCTCTTCTGTCAGGAAGCACAAACAGAACGCTGAAGACAGCAGACAAATGATGACAGATTTGTAAACTTTACTGTAACGCGATCCAGGTTTTTGTTGCTATGTATTCGTAGTTCATGTCCAGGAGTTGCTGTCTACGCCCAGTGGAGAAGAAAGTCTTGGCCTTGGTCATTCAAAGTCCAGTAATTCTGGACCCTGAGTGGACGTTGAACCTTCTTGACGACGTTCGTTAGGCATGACTCCAGATCTAGAAATAGAACAAAAAAGGTTTTAAAAGATATGAATAAAAGGTAACCGCTAATACATATTTTCTACGTATTAGAACAAATTAATTATTGCTAACAAACGGTATGTATATGGTTAATACGCAGGCCTGTAAGGAGTTCTTTAAAATAAATGGCTTACATCTAAATACCTAATTATGCTTAAATGGTAGGAGAATTTTGGACCGTGCACCTGTGTTCTGTTGGGCCATTGTCAAAGTTAAGATTTCACTATCTTGATTTTCTCAGTTCTCTTGTTGCCACTCTTTACAAACCATGTATTTCTCAAAAACAATAATAACAAATTATAACAACAAAAATAACAACAAAACTTTTCCGTCTCTGTTCAACACGAACATGACAACCTTATCTTTGTTCACCAGCATCTTATAATTATCCAGCTTTGTTAATTCTTACTTTTCCTTGTTGCAGCACATTTTAATAATCACGTAATTCACTTCCTTTTGTCGGAGGCAATTCTTGAAACAAAAAATGGCGCTACCAAATTGTGATGAAAAGTAGGCTACTCTTTAGGAAGAGATGCACTTTTCTTTTTCTTCAGGGAGTAAGAATAATAAATAAAGGGATACATTAAAGTTTTCTGAAATAACGACTTTTGTTGCTTTACTTTGTTGGTTTTTAAACTGGCAATCATGTCATAAAAAATAATTATAATCTATTCTGAAATTTATTATTAAATGATGAAGTTCAGAATCAGGCGTCGGGGTTCCTAGGATGTTATTTCCGAGCCCAGGCTCTGTAGAGTTTCATTTTGACCAAGACGTGTTTAGTGTCTACGAGGTACGATCGGAACCATTTTCTGGATAGTGTAACCTGTAAGCGCCATTATGTAAGACCACAGTTAGATAAATTATATGAAAATAATATCATCGAAGAAATAGTGCTGTTTTAACATAAATGCTCTTCTTCTCACCCGCAGAGCATCAAAAGAACGTATTCAAAATAAACCAGTTGTCTTCTTCAACTGTTAAATATGGACTGAAGTTATAGCAAAGTCAGTTCAGAATGTTAGCTTTATATTAAGGAAGGAGAGGGGGGGGGGGCT